TTATTATTATTATTATTATTATTATTATATTATTATTATTATTATTATTATTATTATTATTATTATTATTATTATTATTATTATTATTATTATTATTATTATTATTATTATTATTATTATTATTATTATTATTATTATTATTATTATTATTATCACTATTATCATTATTATTATTATTATTATTATTATTATTATTATTACCATTATTATTATTATTAATTTTACTTACAAACAAATCAAAAATACTAATTCCAAAACAAAAAGAAAAAATCATACTGAAGATTAGTGAGAATGTGCATTATATGGCAGTACAAATGATTTAAAGTAGCAACTGCAGGGTCATGTAAAGGTCAACACAAGGTGACAAGTGAATGAGAAGACAACAGGATTATTCAGACTAATTCATCCCTTATCATTCACAAAATTAAACTTTTTTTACTAGGACTTACTATTTAGTGATGATATTTTTCCTTGGAGCAATTTGCTAATAATGGAAAAATGTAATTGCTTATGATATGAGGTTATTATCAGAGTAACGATAGCGACAAGAATTTATCAATACTTTTTTTTTTTTGTTTATGGCAAAATATTTGCAGAAATTGCTTCCAAAAGGGGAAAAAAAAATTACATTTAAAAGAAAGTACACTCAAAACTGCACAAATAGCAAACAAATAATGTTTGTTTACAATAAATTACTGATAGTGTAATGCATTAATCAACTGATAATAGAATAATTTTAAAAAATAGTTCCAATATCACAGCTATACTATGGTACCATTTTTTTGTTCATACTATGACAATATCATTGGTACCATTCTTTGTTTGTACTATGACAATATCATTGGTACCATTCTTTGTTTGTACTATGACAATATCATTGGTACCATTCTTTGTTTGTACTATGACAATATCATTGGTACCATTCTTTGTTTGTACTATGACAATATCATTGGTACCATTCTTTGTTGGTACCATAACAATATCATTGGTACCATTCTTTGTTTGTACTATGACAATATCATTGGTACCATTCTTTGTTGG